AATTTTTTTCTTTCTCAGAAATAGGCTGAAGTGTGGTACTGTTCAAAGCACTCCGTTGGACACAATGCTGTGTTGCAAGGTTTGCACATGAACCTGCCTTTTCTGTGGGTACTTTTTGGTGGTCAGGCAGACCTTGCAAATCCTGCATGTGTTCTTCCCCTGTTGGACAGTTGAAGGGATCTCAGAGGGGAAATGCTGGGCAGTGAGACGAAGTGGGTTGTAAGCAGGAGGGCGACCACCAGAAGATGGCTTCCGGGGAGTGTGGTGTTCTTCCACAAGTTGGCGAACAAGATTTTCACGGGAACTTTTGGTATGTCAGGCTAGAATCATTCTTCACCTTGTAAACAACCAATGCATTGTGTACTGCAAGGTCCACAAAATGGAAGAACAGTTTCTTGTACCATTTTAAGGTCTTGCGAGTACAGCCAACAAAACTGTCCATCATATCGACTTTATCCACAGCACCCATTTCCGTATTGTAGTCCAGCACGCATTGGGGTTTGATTGAACGCAAGCAGCGAACGCGCTTCTGTGTCAGCCGCGACACAAGGATTTGTTTTCTACGTGTATTTACGCTTTGATTTGAACGAAAACAGCGCATCCGTGCAGCGCGGCTGACACAGAATAGCGTACGCTGCTTGCGTTCAGCGGATATTCTCCAAAATGGAGAGACACAGAGGAGACGCGCGGCTGACACAGAAGAGCGTTCGCTGCTTGCGTTCAGCGCATATTCTCCAAAATGGCGCTACGGTGATACAGAGAGACACAGAGGAGACGAATTGTTGAATAAAGTCATTATTTTAGTTTTCTTCGGGTATATTCTCGTCGCTTCATAACGTTAAGGTTGAACCACTAATGGCAGATGGACTATTCGGACGATGTCTTTCATACTTTTCTGGACCTTGACAGTGTTATTTACTTGGCAGTCAATGGGACAGTCACAAGCCTCCCGGTTTTCATCCAAAATATCTTAAATTGTGTTCCGAAGACGAACAAAATTTTACGGGTTTGAAACGACATCGGGGTAAAGTGATTAATGACAAAATGATCATTTTGGGCTGGAGTATCCCTTTAACAATCGGTCGAAGACAAATAATTGCAAAGTGTTTACGAGCAGTTTGGTCTGGCCTGTAGATCCATTATGTTGTTCCATGCGTCATCTGGTGGATATTCTGTGAAGCACAACACATTCATTTAAATTCTAAACAACGTGCTCATGGGATTCAGCGGCATTACGCAGAAGGAATTGCGGCATGCCGTGGGAAAAAATACGCATTCTTGATGGCCACATCTGTATCTGGGAGTGACACTGAAAATTTGTTCCAACAAAGACAAAATACATAGGAATTTTAAGACAACAGGGAGTTGGTAAAACCACACAGCTTTGATGGGGTAAATGGTAAATAACCCTGAACTGCTACAGAAAAAAAAGGAAAATTAATTTATGAATATAAAAGATGAAAGCAGGAATATCCAGACCTACAGGTGTAATGTTTACTGACTACTAAACGGTAAGATGCTGAGAGGGGAAAAACTATCAAAGGATGGAAAGACAGTGTCAGTGAAGGTGGTTGTGAATGTGTGTAGATGTGTGTTAGTTACAGGATCAGAGAATGATACTGTTCCTCTGTCATAGTCCAGATCAACTCTTACAATTAATTCTTCTACTCCTCTTCCTCCCTCAGTGCAGTGATTGTAGCTTCGTCTTCATCTCTGAGAAACTGATGAAGCTTCTCAAACTGCTGTTTAATCTGACGCTCTGTCTGCTCAGCTTGAGACTGAAATCAAATCACATTCATTTCAGTCATCTCAGTCAACACACATCACATCATCTACAGCACCACTCAAATGTGTGGACTGTGGATGCACTCAACTGAATTTAAAAGATATGTATTAATGTATAAACAAATCTATGAAAGTTGGCAACTTTGAAAAAGATACTGTAGTGATCTCGAGACAATGTTGTGCCAATTTTGATACAAAAGGGGTGTTGTTGGCCACAGTCATGGCATACACACCTCGGCTTGCTCAAAGAACCACACTTGAACCAGCGGGGAACTCCTCTCCCCCTTTTCTCTTGGACCTCTCCCCTTCCTCAAGCATTCGTGAGGATACTAAATTACTTTACAATTACTTAAATGTTAAAATATGTTTGTGCACTGTTTGTTTATGGAGTAAGTCACAGGTCAGGAATGAATGAATGATGCATTTATATAGCACTTTATTGTGTATACCAGCTACAGGTGGATAGGAGACAGAGTCATAGAGCCAATCAAGTGGATGGGGATTATTAGGAGGCCTTGATAGACAAGTGACTGACACGCAATTTGGCCAGGACACCAGGGTTACACCCTTACTCTTTACGAGAAATGCCATGGGATTTTTAATGACCACAGAGAGTGAGGACCTTTTTGACCTGCTTTTTGACAGTATAATGTCCCCGTCAGTATACTGGGGCATTAGGACCCACACAGACCACGAGCACCCCCTGCTGCCCTCACTAACACCTCTTCCAACAGCAACCTAGTTTTCCCAGGAGGTCTCCCATCCAGATACTGACCAGGCTCAACCCTACTTAGCTTCAGTGGGCAACCAGTCTCGGGCTGCAGGGTGATATGGCTGTGGCCATATATAGGAAGGAATATATAATGTAAACACAGTGGTTGTGTAGTGAATTTGACAAAGGTTTAGAGGTTTAAGTTAATCTATAAGTACTAATTCATGTATGAGTTATGCTGGGATAAATAAATAACCCAACATACTGGGTAAGGTTAGTCCAAGGTGTGACCATTCCTATATTTCAACAGGGCTGGGCTAAAACTGGGTCGTTTTTAAATAAGCATTTCCCCCCCCCAGAAAAGCATCTGTATGATATAGAATGAGTGAAATAATGACTCTCTCTTTCTAGTAAGAGTGTACAGAGGGTGGGTCGTTTTTGATCATCTTTGGGAATGTTGTGCAGCAGGTCAGATGGCACCATCAACATTTCTTCAAGTTCACGTACTGGCATTGGTTAACAAGATTCCCTTCAAAATGGAACTACTGTGAAACTTGCGAGTGTATCGGATCTGGTCCTCCTTCTGTTTTCTGCATTGTGATTTGGCAAACCCGTTCATCTTATTACAACACTCCGACGAACACGAGTCAACGGGCCCCATCCCCCAATATAGGCCAGGACACAGCGTTTTCGTTGACATTTTTACTGAAAGGTGAAATAACACATCCATTTAGTGGTGTTACACTGCAGACATAAGGCATCCACAGCATGCATTTCTCATTGCTCATCTCATTGTCATCTTCAGTCAAACTGAAAATGTTTGTCTGCAGCTCCCAAACAAACCACATGAGGACACCATACAACATGGGATTAATAGCTGCCGCTGAATTCAGGTTTCACAACAACAATTCTAACTCTGTTACACGAGCATAATACTTAAAACCTTGCACTAGAGACAACAGCTAACAGCTAGCTAACCACTAGTTCCTCAGAAAATATATTTAGTCAGTCCAATCCAAAAATCCCCCTTCTGTGTAATATACACCTCGTTAAATAAAGCCTAGTAAATCAAGGTTTTAATTCTGATGAAAATAAATCTCAGTCTCTAAATCTCAGACTGTAAATGTTCAAACACTGTCATCTGCTGGACACAGTCAGAACACCACAACAAAACACTGATTATCCAGATGTCCTGGGGTACGTCGCTAACTCAGTTAGCTGGATTTGATTGTTGATGATTTGGCATGAGCTTGGATTGTTTGGTTCTTTGAAGCTCATCCCGGAGTTGCTGTCATAGCAACAGGTCCATAAACTTAAACCTAATCGGGAGCAGGCTTATTTCATGTAAACAGGATTAGATTGCATCTTTTTAAGCAGAATTGATACTTAAAATCTGTCCGCTACCACCGTGACTTTATTACAAGAGTATCCTACTAATCCAGGGACAATAATTTAAAATAATAATCATTTAAAAATTAATTTAAAGATAATATAATAATGTTGTGCGTCTTTAATAGACAATATAAACATAACATATTTTTCTTAAATATATACATGCATGTGTTTGTATTTATATACATTTACATTTAGTCATTTAGCAGATGCTTTTATCCAAAGCGACTTACAAGTGAGGACAATGGAAGCAATCAAAATCAACAAAAGAGCAATGATATGCAAGTGCTATAACAAGTCTCACCTAGCTTAACGTAGTACACGTAGCAAGGTTTTTTTTACTATATAACAAAAAGAAAACAGATAGAATAGAAAAAGAATAGAGCAAGCTAGTGTTAGAGGCCTTTTTTGCTTTTGTTAATTGTATAAAAAAATTAAAAAATAAATAAATTGGATAGAATACTAAAATAATAGAGAAGGTAGTGTTATTTATATATATATTTTTAAGAAAACAAGCAGTTAGTAAATTAATAGAGTGCAGGTCTATAAGGGGCAAGTTTTGTTTTTTTAAAGAATAGAATTAGAATAGAGAGTGCTAGAGTTAGAGGATCAAATAAAGATGGAAGAGATGTGTTTTTAGCCGATTATTGAAGATGGATAAGGACTCAGCTGCTCGGATTGAGGTCATTCCACCAGGAGGAAACAGTTAATGAAAAAGTCACATAAGGCTGAAGTAATGAATTTAGGTAAAGGGGTGCAGAGCCAGTGGTGGTTTTGTAGGCAAACATCAATGCCTTGAATTTTATGCGAGCAGCTATTGGTAGCCAGTGCAAATTGATAAACATATATACATAATAGTCGTTACTAGCTAGTTGATTTGTTCTACGATGCGTCGTACTATGGTGGTGAAGCAGCGAGTTACGTCGTTGTACGAAAAACGCACCCTATATTAGCAAAAGAGTGTGAGATTGAAAGTAGGTGATTGACAGTTTTGCATTAATGAAACGTATTGAATTAGAAAATGAGTTCTGATTGAAGAGGAAGAATTCATATTCCATTGTTTCACCTGTCAGCATAATGCAGTATAGTACAAGATCACTACAACAGTATATCTAAGGTCTAATTAATAATTACAGTCTGTAGTGATTATTATGGATGGTGCTAACTGCCCCAACAAAAAACTAAAATGTGAGATCTCACCTTTTTCTCTGTTTTACTTACAGGTTGGATTTTGTTTCCTGGAAATTCCAGAATTTTGCCCTTATTGCTGAATTTGGTGAGTCCCAAAGTAATGTGAACATTATTTTCATGTGTTTTATATAGGAATGACTAACACTAGAGAATAGCTTTTAAATTACCACAGAGGTACGTGACCGTATGAAAATATAGTTTGTTACACCATGTCAGTATTTAGTTTATTTGATTTTTTTCTATTACATTTCGAGAATTACAAATACAAAATAACCCCAAATCAAAACTAATCAAGAAGTTACCCACCAATTTAATGTGGTTTATTTTACCAGACAGTATAAAAAAATGCTGTGATTTCTTGCAGCTTCAAATGTCCTTAATTTATCTAAAATATTAAAGTTAAAAAACAACAACAAACTGTTTCTATAAATTAAATGCAAATATACCATGCTTTTTTTTTATTTCCTAGTCTTTCAATGAATGTGGAAATGCAAATACTTGGGTCAAGTTGCTATGAGAAAAATATTTGGAAGAGTCAACATTAAGTATCTGCTGGACTTTGCAAGTCATTACATTTTCTTATTACTAGACCTTCAATTTGTTTTTTGAGATTTGATTGGGAGAATTTTTTTATTTTTATTTTTTCATATTTTTAATATAGACACATCATTCACTGATTTCATCAAAATAACTTTGTAATAAATGTCTTGTCTTCGTCTTTTATTAGGTTGTTCAGAAGGATGAAGCTGAAGCAGAGCTTCAAAGATGTACAATGGCAGTGTATGTCTTCAAGGAAGATGAGGATCCTCTCCAGCCACCACATCACGTTGGAATTGTTATCGAAGGGGTGCAGGTCCTTAATGACTTGCCATCAGTCCCACATGCATGTGCCTTGTTGTTTGGCCTCATCTACATTCTAAATTTGAGCTACCCAAGTGAACTCAAACACACCTTTGAGGCTCTACAGAAAATATTCATGGAGATAGAACCCAAGAAAATGGCACGCAGAGTGTTCAGTCTGAGTGTCAAGCTCTAAATATTGGAGTAATCAAAGACATTTGGATACAGAATGTGTTTTGTTGCGTTATATCTTGTATTCAAATACATTCCATGAATAATGGAAGGGGCCATTGTTAAATGTAAGTAAGAGAGGAACAGACTTTAATTCAAAACGGTCTTTAATTTAAGATTTTCTGTTAACAGAGCTGTTTCTGTGGCATAAATATTGAGGCACTGATATCAGTGTGAATAATGCAAAATTCACAATGGCAGCAATTGTAATGATGTTTTACTTAAAGGGTTAGTTCACCAAAAAATAAAAATAATGTCATTCATTTTTTACTCACCCTCATGTTGTTTTACACCCATAAGACCTTCATCTTCAGAACACTAATTAAGATGTATTTGATAAAATCCGATGGCTCAGTGAGGCCTCCATTGACAGCAATGCCACTGAACCTCTCAAGATCCAGAAAGGTACTAAAGACATATTTAAAATAGTTCATGTGAGTACAGTGGTTCTACCTTAATATTACAAAGTGACGGGAATAAAACAAAATAATGACACGTAATATCTAGTGATGTGTGATTTCAAAACACTGTTTTGAAGCTTTACGAATCGTTG